CCATTGTCCTCTCAATCTCCCCCAACTTTCCCCCCACTCTCCCCACTATCATCCCCCTCCCTTTCTCCACCCCAACGTTTCCCCTACTCTCCCGCTAAATGTTCCCCAACTCTCCGCCCACTATTGGACCCCTACTTGGTTTTGTTACTGGCTCAGAGGGAGAAGAGGACAAAAAGGAGGGGATCTGACAAACTGTTTCGTTGGCATAATCTACGGACCGTAGATGTGGTCTTACCCCCCTCCCGCAACAAAAAATAAACTAAAATTGAATTCAGAAAAACAAAATTGCGGGGAGTCCTTTCTTTATATATATGTGGGACTTGTCATCTGGGATCTGTATTGTTGCCCCCTGTTCTGTTTTATTTGGCTGTTCCCTTCCTCTTTCCTTTGCCTCTTTGCCTTTTGGATGTGTGCAAGTGGGTCGATATGACACACGGGGGTGGGGGCAGCCGACGCGCAACCGACATCGACGTGGGCGGCCTTGTACGCGAGAGGTTGTGAACAAGTGGAGTTATAAGGAAGAAGATAAAAAACTGGATTCATTTTTCTCTTTCGTTTCCCTCTTTGCCTTTCGGATGTGTGCAAGTGGGTCGATATGACACACGGGGGTGGTGGGGGCAGCCGCCACTCAACCAACATCCACGTGGGCGGCCTTGTACGCGAGAGGTTATGAACAAGTGGAGTTATAAGGAAGAAGATAAAAAACTGGATTCATTTTTTCCTGTTTTTCTTTCTTGTTTCCTTTTTGTTCGCATTTGCGCTCTGATACTCTTGTGACAATATATATACATTATGTATATATATTCACTAGTCCATATGGCCACCACTTTTGTCCTTTCCTTTTTTTTTCTTTTTTCTTCGGCAACTTCTGCCATTTCTAGCGTGAATGTAGAAACAATCCCCGCCTCGAAAATATATATGGCTGTCCCCCGGTGAGGAGAAGGCAGCGACGCCGCAGCGTTTTTATGAGAAAAAAAAGAAAAAAAAATAGAGGAATCCCCTCGATTTTATTTTTTGAAATCAATTTGTCTTTTTTCTTTCTTTTTTTTCGGGGACAAACCGCAGCTACGGTCAGTAGATGATGACATAACATAAAGATGGCCACACTCTTGTTCTCATGAAGTTGTCAAAAAAATCGGACCGTTTCTCGACTTGAGCGTATCATATTATCATTCTTGCGAAAAAAGGGCCTATGTTAATCTTCAGGGTCCATGCTAATCTTCTGTGTACCGTTCCAATTTTAAGGGATGTTCCTAAGCAGCTGATAGCGTTTCGGCAGTGCTAGAAGAGATGACGAGGATGATTTTTTAATTTTAATGCAAAAAGGTATCCTCGGGACATAGTTTAGTGTGAAAAAGAATGTTATCGGTGGTTGTTTCCGAGCGCGCGAAGTGATTTTGTGCTAGCCTGTCGCTAGCAAATACTCACACTAGGAATTTCCTCGTTGTACCTGACAGTAAGTAATTCGTGCCCGTCCTGCATGCATCTGGTCGCAGTTACGTCCACAGGAGTTACTTGGACGAGTCAGGAACTCGGAAACACCCTTTTCGATAGTAATTGCCTACAAATCCATCCGGTGTAACAACCGAATTTTATTGCATTGAAAACAAACGAGGCTCTTATGTTTCAACTTTGAAATGACCCAAGCTCGACTGCAAGGATTTTTTCCACTCCTCTGGACGTAATTGCGATCAGATACATGCCGAACGGGCAAGAATTGCTGTCAGGTTCATCGAAGGAAGGCCTAGTGTGAGTCTGCGCGTAGTTCCCCCTGTCTCCTACAGCACAACGGCGCGATGTGCTCGGGTATATTCCTCCATCGAAAACAAGGGGTGTGCGCAGCCTTGGTATGATCCTGTCCAATTCATGATACGATACTCAACTTGGACAGAAAAGAAAAAAAATCGATATCCTATTCATATAGAAAAAAAAATAGATATCCTATTCATCGCAACCCAAGAAGAAGCGGAACGCCAATGCAAAAAAAAAAGACAAAAAAAAACAACAACAACAATAAAGAAACTTACCGGAGTTGCCGAAAGAGAGGTATAGCCTTAGGAGTAGTGGTAGATTCTGAAAAGAAAGATGTGTTCCATGACATGGCAGAACGCCAGTTAAAAGAAAGATATGTGAGGTGAGAGAAAAATATATGGCTGTCCCCCGATGAGGAGAAGGCAGCTTTTTCAAAAAAAAAAAAAAAAAAAAGGTTCTAACTTCTAAGACGATCCTCAGAATTTCGTGTTAGTGTTAAAAGAAAACAAAAAAACAAAAAAAAGGACCTATGTGATCCTGTCCTGGAAGGATGGTCCGCCAGGCCCGTTGTCTGTGGTGTGACGTTGAGGCGGCCTAGCTTAGTTGGTATGCACGCAACTGGCATTCAGGAGGTCTTGTGTACAGTCCCCATCGGCCTCAAGTGCATTCCTGGGCAAGCCTGGAGGTCGCCACCTAAAGATAGGTTGTCGTTGGTTCCCCTGCAGGTATGGTGCAGCCTCCCCCGCATCTTCCCTCGTTGGAGGCTTGTACTTTGGCTGGATGCTAAAGCCTAAGGGTTTCCCCGTCATACTAAATGACAAACAAATAAAAAAGGCCCGAAAGACCCTCCTGTCCAGATTTGACAGGTACTTGAATTCGGTGGGCTCAAAAGAATTAGCCTTCTCTTCGAAACCCAAAAAAAAGAAGGGGAGGCAAAGGAAGAGAAGGGAAAACCCTTCATCAAAAGAAAAAAAAGAAAAAAGAAAAAAAAAAGCAAGAAAAGAAAGAGGGAAGAGCAAAAAGCTATGCTTGCAGGGGTCCCCTGTATAGCCTTAGCAATAGTGGTAGCCTGGTAGGTCGTGAAAGGAAAACGACTTGCTCCACAACATGGCAGAACGCCAGTTAAAAAATATGTGAGGTGAGAGAAAAATATATGGCTGTACCCCCATGAGGAGAATGCAAAACCAAAAAAGAAAGAGGAGCAATTGGGGGAGAGGTGGGAGATGCAAATCACTTGGGGGATTTCCCAATGCGAATGGATGAAATTCAAACAAAGAAATTCCCAATGCAGAATCGCCAACATTCAGGCTTTGTCTTGTGGAACGGGCCAGGGACAAAGTGCGACCTGCAAGGGGTATTTTGATGGTTTGACAATCATGCAATGATTAGACAATCATTCAAGAGTGCTCAATAACTGGCTGAGACAATTCCAAGGCATGGATGGGCGGGGGAGGAGAGAGAGAGAGAGAGAGAGAGGCACAAAGATCAGAATGGGAGGGTGGTGGTCATAACTGTCCTTTTAACCTGTCTCTGTTTTTTGATTGTTTGTTTTTTGGGGCTTGGCTTTGGGGGCATTTCGGCTGCGGCTGCCAAAATGGGGCCCCCTAATAAGGGCCGCTGTTTTGTGATTTGAATTTTGTCCGGCCTTTCGACTTTGGTGTTTTCTATGTCAATATTTTTTGGGTCTGAGGGGCATGTTTGTGGGCTACCCTGATCGTCTCTTGGTCTCTCTGGGGGTCTGGGGCTGGGAATCGATCATGGGGACAACCAGACAGCGCGCGGGACGGCACTCTGCGCTGGGAACCGATCATAAGGATGGCCGGACAGCACGCGGGACGATTACTGAGTGCCATTAGACTCTGCATGTGGTAAAAAAGCTGCGATTTTGAGTATATGGGTCTCACTGCACTACTATAGATTCTCAAAATATTTTGAGAGTTCGACTAGCATTGTCAGAGAGGCGAGACTCTCGACATACCTGCCTTCGCTGCACTTGCTCTATAACCATGTTACACTAGATGAACTCTCGAAACCCTGCGCGTCGTCCGACTCGACAGAAGAGCTGCACCACTGCGCTACGGGACAAAGTCTGGCTGCCGGCTATGTGACACCTGCGGCCTGGGCCGCGGGCATTTGGGCCGCACGGGCCGAAAAGGTCGGTCGTGGCCGTGGCCAATGAGGCCCTCAGGCCCTGTCCGCGGCCTCGTTTTTTAATATTTTTTTTATACCCCTAAAAATACGTAAAAAAATGCAAAACCCTACAATCCTATATTTTTTATTTTGGAATCCGACCTCGTTTAAGATTTAAAAAATAAAATGAGAAATGAAAATCGATTTAAACAAATTATTTATATTAAAACAAAGAAAAGTAGGATTTTTTTTTTGTCATTTTTTTTCACGACGGACATGGTCGCTGAGTTGTCCTGTATTTTTTGAGAAATGTTTTTCGGGTTTGTGTCGGGAAATTGGGTGTTCAAAAAAAAAGAAGATGCAAAAATTGATCAATCAATCAACCAAACAAATCAATCAAACTAATCTTGATTGGTTCGGTTGATTGATTGATTTGTTTGATTTGATTGATTGATTGATTGTGTGTGTGTGTGTGTGTGTGTGTGTGCGTGTGTGTGTGTGTGTGTGAGA